TCAAAATAAATATACTTTGTGAAGTTTTATCGAATTACTAACATGAAGATAAGCAACTGTGTATCTCTCCCAAAGCAGAGAATTAAGAAAGTTAAGGCTTCAATTAGACTTTACTGCTTACACGATTGTATGTGTGATGCCTGGTTCAATGCACAGAAGTAGTTGTCTTTATGCACCAATGTGTGTACTTAACTGAATAAAGATTTATTTATAGTTACTTTCTTGAACTTTTGAGACATTGGGAAAACTGGTAAACCACTGAAATAGAGAACTCTGTAAAGTTTGGCGCGTTCCCTGTAAGGAATCTATTTTGACTTTGCGAGTTCATCAACAACAAAAAACGTGCTGGTAAATAGTAATAATAAAAACAGGTATATTTCTGTGTTAATGTCAAGAGAAATGTTGTGGGTTGCTAGGGTTATTTTCACGTCTCAGGTTTGCATGTGCTGTTCAAAAGACAACCGATAAGTTGTGTTTTCAAAGCGGCAACAAAGAACGCTAATGAAAATAACACTGCACGGAAAAAAAAGGTTTGTTGTCTTATAAATATGCAGTTACAAATATTATCGCTTATGTAAATAGTACATGCACATAGCTATTTGTACATTGTTAATATTTATTTGTTTGTCTAATGTCCAGTGGCAAATGTTGCATGACTATACAATACAAGTTCATTCTGACAGCACATTTCATCCGTTTTTATCGAAGTCTCAACCTCAAAAGAGTCTTTTTCTTTCTTATAGAAACAATTATTAGCGATTGAACAATTTTATTATGGATGTTACAAACAAAACTATGAAACTCATGATCTTCGAGTATATTACCAATTAACAATTCGACAGCTCTCAAATTTTGAAAGTTTTCGACCTTAAGTTCGTGTACATTGTAGATGAATGGAAATAATAACGCTAGGAAAATTAATAGTCCCTCTTTATGGTAAAATGACACTTTTTTCAGTTTGGACAGTTTCCAAGACGAAATCACATGAATAATATTCTTTACGACGAGAGACTGCACTGCTGATGACTGATCTTTACATTTCCTTTTTATTTGAAAATTTTCCCCATAGAACATACCTTGCATTAGTCAACCAAAACTTGCAAGGTTCTCGATTGCTTTATATGGTTATGGTCATGGTATTTCTTTAATAACAGATGGGGAGTATTGTATTATCTGTTTCTGCGATATACTTTAGAACGATTGAAATTTAGATCGATTTATAAAAAGCTAGTATGAACGTGGTCTTAGAAAGAATAGGTCAAATACCACGTCAACAACGATTCTATGAAGTAGATTTTCTATTACGGCAGTAATTAAAAACCCTTTGTCGGACTATTTAAGCGTCGTGCTAATGGGGTGTCGGACTAATTGGATGTCGGACCAAGGGGGTGTCGGACTAATGGGTAGTCGGAATATCGGGGCGACCCCAAGCAAAGTACTATAAGAATAAAATGCTATTCAACACGACCGGTATCGTTATGTTAGAGATATCTGCATTGCAACGTAATATTTATCGGTTTGTCTTACGTTACCTTTAAGCGTCGATCCCCGATAACGACGTCGATTAGGATAAGGATTGTTTTTGCTTGACGGGCGTCATATACATATTTCAGCAGCAGTTTGTATCACATATTTGTATTTCAATCTATGAGCAGAAATGTTATTGTAAGAGATCACTGATATTTACGGATCTCGAAATTGATTTATACAGCATTAGAATATGTTTCCTCTACCATTGGACATGTGGTTTCAGAGAAGTAGCGCACACGAGAATTTGGTTCATGTTTCCCGAGATGAAAAGTAATAACAATAAAAACATATTGTTCAGAGAGCAACTCTGAACAAGTAAAGGTCTTTCCATCCCAAATGCACATATTTTGAATTTATTCAAAGCCGGCTTAAATGAAATTTCTGGTATCAGAAAAAAGCTTAATTAAAGCTGATTCCAAAAAGATATGGTTTCTAATCCCGTTTGCATCAAATAAGGGAGATAACTTGCTAATCATGGTTTGAAAAATGTCAATGTTGTTATTATATGATAGGTATCATGACACTGATTCCAAAAACAGATAGTTCTTGGTACTTTTAAATGCAAAAATGGCTGCCTCCGGTTTACTTAAGGTCACTTCAGGTTGATATTTTTAAGGTCGTGTGTATGCCTACCAAATTAAAAAAAAACTCTATGTTTTTATAATGTATTAAAATGAAGTTATAGCAAATGTCAAAATCAAGAACTTCAAATTTACTTTTGACGTTCACCTCAATTTCAAAGTCATCAAGCAATGACCTCATATAAAACGACTTTTAGTCTCTACTATGTATTGTTAATAAGTTATATTACCATTTAGCTTATTTTTAACATTCAGGGGGGAAAACTCCTAGTAAAAACTACTGAACCGCTTCGAAGAAAAAAATTCCTGTTACAACATATTGCAACTAATAATTTAGTGAAAATCTGTGTCGATATATATAAAAAAAAAATTAGGAGTAGCATGCACAAGCAAAAGCCAAAAAAATAGTACATGACCTTTACTTCATTTTCGTTTTGGTGGACCCAGGTCCACCGAAGGAAAACAAAAAAATAATCAGAACAAAAGCATAAGGTATGTCCAAGGAAAAATGGAAAGACCAATAATTATCAGAACAAAATCAAACGATCTTTCCACGAAAAAGTGGAAAGACCTAAAATCAATTATCAGAGCAAAATCAAAAGATCTTTCAACAGACAAATGGAAAGACCTAATGACAGAAATGAACATAGTTCGAAGTACCTGTCTTAGATAAAAGGACTAAAAAACAATAGTGCTGTTAGGTACGAAAAAAATGTTTTTAATTAACATTTAATTCGAAATGTGTGTTGAGAGACTGATCAGAACATAATGAAGATAACAGGAATTTCAAATCATTTTTCGAGATATATATTTTAAGGTTGAACATTTGAAACAATCATTAGTATACATAATTATATGTTTAGCTGATTAAGAAATAATTGCATAGCGTAATAAACAGACAATGCACTATGTGTTCATTTATTACGTACTAAATGACAGTTTCTACGATCAGTATAACACTATATACTATATATGTCACCAATAGTTTATTTTCTCCCTTGTTACACCAATAGTTTAACATTCCATAGTTTGCAATGACTAGGTGTTTGTCTTTACGTCTTATGAATTGCATAGTGTCTTGTTTTCTGGTACCTTTTGTAACGTATAAGTTACAATGAAGGCGTTTGCCCTTCATGAAGGAATCGTAACCACAGCACAAATCATGCAAATGGTTAAATGCAATATTGTATAATTGTATTTCTATCATAACTATATGAAAGTGAAACGGTAAGAAAATGTCTATGGTATAAAAGAGGACAAAACAAGGAATAAAATGCAAGGAAAATCGGACAAAGATTGAAATTAAGCTTAATGATTAAAAGCATACATCCTACCAAAAACCTTTAAGTTAATTATCTCATTAAATATTCCATGAAACTCACCGAATCTATTCAATAATCTTCTATCCCGTTAGGGTTGGTATCACGTCCATAAGCATCTTCTGACAACCTGGCTAGCACGGCATTTTAAGGCAGTACTGGGTATTGTAAAGCTAACAGTACTATGAATTATAAGTTCTGATAGAAACCAAGTTGTCGGTGTCCTCAATATTGTTTAAATCATAAAAAAAACTTATGAATATACGTTGAGAATGATATATGACGAACAATGTTTAATTGCTATGGTAAACACTTGCTGACCGCAGACATTAAATGATGAATCTTTTTTTTACAGAACATGCTTTAATCACGAAGGTCTGTGATGATCACGAACACTAGCCTGATGTAATCCAAAACAGAACTAGATACAACCCGAATAACTTCTGTTCAATAATTTCCTGTCATTGTGTGTAAGTTTAGGTATTTTCATGAGTATTTGGTTTCATTTACTCTAGAATAACTATGAAATGTTAAGGTTTTCTTTTTTAAAATTTAAAGGACAATGTATCAACTCATAAGAAATTCGGCTCAGCCAAAACCATTAGAGTATATACGATTCCTATGAATCAGGAACTACATTGCTGACACAATATTTGTTCTCAGTTTTTTTTCTAGTAAAAATAATGGGTTTCAAAATATATGTATATATTAAGCAAACGTCCATTATAAACTGTCAAAATTGTTGGTCTGTTTCTTGTTATATCAATTGCATCAGTCGTTATTGGTTAAGCCTGGTTGAAATAATGCAGGCATTAACAAAGTGAGCATGCAGATCAATACCAAATGATGACCGATCAGTTGTCATTGATTACTTTCGGATTGCGACTTTTTGTTCATAGAATTGTACTGCTCACATTGTAATTGAGTTGGAAGAATATCATGCATTCTTATAACATAAGTAACGAGGAACTTTTTCAAAAATTTAGTGAATTGGTATATAGACAGATCCGGCATTATTGAATTAATTGCCTAGTAACTCATGCATTTAGTTGTGTAAAGAAATGCTCATTGTGTGTATGATATTACTGTTTTAGCCACGACAATGTGTTTTTTTTTATTGCGCTTCAATCTCGTCATTATACTCTTCAATAATCACAATAAAAATCTGAAATAACACGATACGTGTGTATCACTGCGATATTTCAAACTGATAAACTTATGAAATTACAAAAAAAATGCTTCTTTTTTTAAAAATGTATATATTCTGATGCAATAGTAAAAATGAAACGATTACACTTATGTACTCTACAAATGGCTTACATCAACAAGCTGTTTTTTTGGTATTTTTGGACTCATCTCCAAAACTCGTGATCGTTATCGGACTTTGTCCAAAAAAGAAACGGTTAATCAACATATGTCTGAGAGGAACGCCTTTAAACCACAATTTAAAACCTCATTTTTCATAATATATCAAAGTACTAGTTTTTGTAGACAATGACCTAATTGTTTAACGCAACGAATAGTATAAAAGTACACATATATCCGATTATTACTTCACATCTTCTACAGATCAAGTATACACCATGTCAATGTTGACTATACTTCTAGTTTCACTTGTCGGGTCAGTTGCGGCATATGGCAAAGTAGGTCCATTGTTAGGAGGACTTGGTAGTAGTTCTAGTGGAGCACTCATTGGAGGCGGTGGAATTATTGGTGGAGGTGGTATTATTGGTGGAGGTAGTGGAATTGTCAGTGGTAGTGGACTTCTGATAAACACTGGTGGAATAGGTGGAGTGATCGGAGGATTAAATAGAGGTATAATAGAATTGACCATTTATAGTATCAATTACGACAAAGCCGCAACACGTACACATGTATAGACAAAATGCTACCAATTGGATAAACCGATATGTTTCATCTTTTCATTTATCTGTGTTCATAGATTGTATGTATCTTTTGTACTATACTATAAATAATTGATAATGAATGTGTGCATTTTACGAGGTGAACGTTCGAACTGAAGATAAATCCACAAAAAAAAAAAAAAAAAAAATAAAAATATAAAAAAAAAAAAAAACGCTATGGACTCTCGGCATTCATCAATAGCTTATTTAATTTAACATTTAATTTAACAGTTACGGTAATATCCTGGTTGACTGTTAGTCCTCGACAATATAATTAGTTCAAAGTTATATTTCCTACTTGATAACATAGGAAATTATTAAAATTCTACCGTTCATACTCAATCAGGCAAAATTGACCATAGATAAATGTGGCTATCTGTTAAAGTCCTTTTTTTTGTCATAGAGCTATAAACATTAACAAAGAAAATCGCAAGTTGAATTCCAAAAATTGCTTCTGACAAACACAGTTTGTCAAGTTTGTATGTCATCAATGAATTATGCGATGTAATCTATATACATGACAACAAAAAATCTTGAAATGATTGTATTTACAGGACTGCGACCATGGTGCACATGTAGTTTGAAATGTGCTCCAGGACAGATCAAACTCAACAAGAACTGTAACTTGGCACCTCTCCTTCCTGGTAGTTTGAATACTTGTTGTTCCATATTGCCATGGTGGGTTACCAACCGAAATTACGGTGCTTTACTTGGAGGAGCTGGTCTTATTGGTGGTGGAGGTATTCTCGGTGGTGGTATTATCGGTAGTGGTATTCTTGGTGGTGTTAATGGTATTGTTGGAGGTGGTAGTGGACTTCTTGGTCCCATTGGTGGTATTGGAGGTTCAATTGGTGGTGTTGTCACAGGACCAGTCAGTGTCGTTGGAGGAGCCAGCAATATTGTCAGTGGATCAATTGGCAAAGGCGGTTATTATTAGTAAGTTTGCATTTTTTGTTGATATGTTGTTTGACAATTGTTTTTTTTGAATACCGTATACTACCGAAGTATGTACATTGTCAGCTTACAATTCTACTAGAGATGCTCTGAACGAAGTATTTTTCTAGTCATCTATAATTGAACAGTCAATGTTTCACTCAAATGTATTATTTGTTTGGCCTTAGCTTATATATTCATTGTTAGGTCATATCCGTTGCATAATTAGAAACTAATATGTAGTATATCGTCCTAATGTTGACTCACAAAACACTATCAGTTTGAAGATACAGGTTCTACTAATATTGCTTAATGACTACATTTGAAGTTTCCAGTAGTCGCATGGCCTTAAAATGCTTTAGTTGTTGTTCATAACAAGATGATATACAATTTGTGTCACAAATATAAGTGGACCTTAATTTAGTTTGAGATTAATCAGTTTTTGTAACATTTTAATTGATGTATTTTCTCATTGTAGGCAACACAACGAAGGCATGTTGTGAAATGCTTGAAAATTGTAAATTTGCTAAATAAATTTAATTGCAAATCAATTTATATGTTTGTTTGTTTTTTTACAACATTTTTTGCTCATTTGACGTCTACATTCGGAAAATGTTGTACCTCATGGAAAAACAGCGAAAATTGACGAATATACAAACAACATTCTATAATATTGAAAAAAAAAACTGTACTTTGAGTAACCCTAACCCAACCACAAAACATGGGGTGATATGTTGTGCTGTAAAATGAAAAGCACATCGTGTTTTGCTGGAATTGTTTTCTGCCGCTTAGGTGTGAACACAACATACAACAAGCCGAGGAAAACATAATACCTAACTACGTCGTTATAAGTCATGTTAGTGTGCATATTAAAACATGGTCCATAACTTATTAGATATACTAATTGGTAATCAAAATCAAAACCGGTAAGGAAATAATAGATACACAAATCATATACAAAGTTTTGGAGAAGAAAAGAAAAACAAAACTTTTGTTTTTTTTTCGTCCGCGCACTCTTTTGAATTTTTACAAACTACTATGTCCATTATCACTATTATCTCGTTATGTCCTTCTGTCATCTGGTTTCTTATGGTACTTTAATGATCAAAATAAGAATAAAACAAATTGATTCGAGGTATAACATTAAAAAACTGATTGATTGATTAATTTATGAGTATCCGAAAAGGGCCAATACATAAAACGAATAAATGTTTATTCCCTTTTAGCAGTATTTATATCTCTATTTTTGGTTTCAACTGGCATATCAGTTTTCAGGTTAACCTGACTTCGTGAAAGTTGGTCTTAAAAGCATTAGATATAAGATATAGTACAGATTACCATAAGATATACCAACAATGAACGTGCAATGTTCTATCACCATTCAAATGAGTCTGATCAATCAATTCCGTTAATACCGTCTGCTCCGTCATATGTTGTGTACATATTTCAACATGCTACACTCTCTGCATATTACTATAAGGACTGCATTAACAGGTGTGTGTTTCTTACATGGAACATGCTACACTCTCTGCATGTTTATAATAAGGACTGCATAACAAGTGTGTGTTTCTTACATGGAACATGCTACACTCTCTGCATGTTTACTATAAGGACTGCATAACAGGTGTGTGTTTCTTACATGGAACATGCTACACTCTCTGCATACTTACTATAAGGACCGCATTAACAGGTGTGTGTTTCTTACATGGAACATACTAAACTCTCTGCATATTACTTTAAGGACTGCATTAACAGGTGTGTGTTTCTTACATTGAACATGCTACACTCTCTGCATATTACTATAAGGACTGCATAAACTGGTGTGTGTTTCTAACATGAAACATGCTGCACTATCTGCAAGTTTACTATAAGGACTGCATTAACAGGTGTGTGTTTCTTACATGGAACATGCTACACTCTCTACATATTACTATAAGGACTGCATTAACAGGTTTGTGTTTCTTACATTGAACATGCTACACTCTCTGCATGTTTACTATAATTACTACATTAACAGGTGTGTGTTTCTTACATGGAACATGCTACACTCTGTGCATGTTTACTTTAATGACTACATTAACAGGTGTGTGTTTCTTACATGGAACATGCTTCACTCTCTGCATCTTAACTATAATGACTACATTAACAGGTGTATGATTCTTACATGGAACATGCTACACTCTCTGCACTTTAACTAAAATGACTGCATTAACAGGTGTGTATTTCTTACATGGAACATGCTACACTCTCTGCATGTTTACAATAAGGACTGCATAACAGGTGTGTGTTTCTTACATGGAATATGCTACACTCTCTGCATGTTTACTATAAGGACTGAATAACAGGTGTGTGTTTCTTACATGGAACATGCTACACTCTTTGCATATTACTATAAGGACTGCATTAACAGGTGTGTGTTTCTTTCATGGAACATGCTACACTCTCTGCATGTTTACTATAAGAACTGCATAACAGGTGTGTGTTTCTTACATGGAATATGCTACACTCTCTGCATACTTACTATAAGGACCGCATTAACAGGTGTGTGTTTCTTACATGGAACATGATACACTCTCTGCATGTTTACAATAAGGACTGCATCAACAGGTGTGTGTTTCTTACATGGAACATGCTACACTCTCTGCATATTACTATAAGGACTGCATTAACAGGTGTGTTTCTTACATTGAACATGCTACACTCTCTGCAAATTACTATAAGGAGTGCATTAACAGGTGTGTGTTTCTAACATGAAACATGCTGCACTATCTGCAAGTTTACTATAAGGACTGCATTAACAGGTGTGTGTTTCTTACATGGAACATGCTACACTCTCTACATATTACTATAAGGATTGCATTAACAGGTTTGTGTTTCTTACATTGAACATGCTACACTCTATGCATGTTTACTATAATTACTACATTAACAGGTGTGTGTTTCTTACATGGAACATGCTACACTCTCTGCATGTTTACTATAATTACTACATTAACAGGTGTCTGTTTCTTACATGGAACATGCTACACTCTCTTCGTGTTAACTATATTTAATACATTAACAGGTGTGTGTTTCTTACACGAAACATGCTTCAACAGAGTTACAAGGAAGAACGAATGAAATATACATTGCATACATTTCACGGTTAACCAGATTTAGTTGTGACTGAACTTGATAACGATGCGCTAATGTTAGCAAAAAGGTGAGTTAGTACAGCCCGAGTTATCTAGATCCTTTAATCATTGTTTTAATTGCCGACTTGTAAATGATCGTCAAATAAGCATGTGTATCGATTCTTGACTAGTCAGATGGAGCAGAACTTACTCTTATGACATCGGTGCTCACTATTGTACTAATCAATTGAAACTACTTTGATGATTCGCCCAAAATAGCCTTTTCAATATTGAATTGATCTTCATCTAATGAATCATATATTGTCTGTTATAATGTGCATACTTGTCAATAACATGAGTTGAATAGATTAATTAAATATTTTTTTTCAATTTGACATACAATAAAAATATCTAGATTCTTCGACTTTCGTTTTCAACCGTCAAATCAGTTGTCAGTATCATTTGGTCTTACAACCAGACAGTAATATATCAAATATAATTAGAACAGTCTAAAAATAATGCACGTGCAACATTTTAGCATTTGTACAAATGAGGCTGGTCATTTAATTGTATCTAAATATGCAGATCATGCGACACCTCCCCAAACACAGTAGCACAATCACTGAATTGTCTACTCTTCACCCTACACTTTTACACAATCTTATCAAACAAAAGTTTTCCTATTCAATAATTGGTCGTTCGATAAATATAATTGCAAATTAATCTGCTCATATAAAGCTTTGTTCTCAAACGAGAAAGGTAAATATGATAGATATACTTACTAGAGATGTATTGAGATGATTATAGCCATACATTTTCTCACTGGAAACATGTATGCACGTTTCTGCATTAAATTTATCGACAGATTGTAGGTTTTCATATGGGCACCAATTGTGCCCTTTTAATAGCATTCTTGTTCTTGTACTGTAATGAATCACAGTTTATTGCCAAACTAAAGTAGAGACCCGTCTAAATTCCGTTTAATTGTGAATTCAACAACACTTACCGCTATTGTGATGATATTTTTTTCGTTAGATAATCAAGAATTCTCTAAATATACTGTCAAAATTTACCCACAGAACTTACTTTAAAAAAATCAAATATAAACAACGATAAGTGTCCTTTCCTAGATTAAGATATTTTAGTTTTACACCAGAAACTCTACAAAAATAAATTACGACAAAAGTGATGATTTTTCTTTCCCTATACTTTTTCCTTTTTTGGACGGTGATGTTCCTCTGGCACCATCTTACGGTATTTATATATCCCAACTTGTTCGTTATGCCCGTGTCTGTAGTGACTTTTTGGAGTTCAATGTTAAATTATCAAGACAGGGATTTTGTTATCGTAAATTCTGTAAAAACTACAAAATTCTTCCATAGATACAAAGATTTGGTTTGCAAGTTTGGCTGTTCTTGTTAAAATCTTATTTCAGACGGAATAGCACACCCTAAATTTTATGGTGATGTTGTTTACCGTCCCCGGAAACTTATATATGATCTGGGTAAACTTGTCAAACCCGGATCGAGAATTTAGATTAAAAAAGATCACCAAACAGATTCCATGAGATGGCAATTGTGTGTTCCTGCTGCTTTATTTTAGTACATAAATATTGATTTAACATGTCCAACGTGTCATTGATGATTCAAACGTACAGACCGCAGTCAATGTGTCATTGATGATTCAAACGTTCCGACCGCAGTCAATGTGTCATTGATGATTCAAACGTACCTACCGCAGTCAATGTGTCATCGATGTTTCAAACTAACAGACCGCAGACAATGCGTCATTTAAGATAAAAACTCACAGACCGCAGTTAATGTGTCATTGATGATTCAAACTTATTGACCACGGTCAATTGGTGATCACTCGTGTTCTCTTTCCGTTATTATTCTCAAGCACTAAACAAGTCATTATAACAAATGTCATTTATGATCACATGACAGATCTGTCCTCGTGTGGATCTTTAAAAGAGCATTTTTAGATTATACAAAAACTGAGCGTTCGTCATTGGCCTCATTTTGTACATTGTCAGTCTACAATATTTCCCATTAAAACTGCATTATCAAATATTAGTGGTAATGCGTAGCATATATTTGTAAACACCCCTTACTCTGTTAATACCTGATAACAATTATAGCTGGTACAAATAAAATAAAACACTGCAATTTTAACGATAGATAATGGCGTAATTTACAAAATTTAAAGCAGTTAGAGTAGGACATGAATGTTATTGTCAATAGGTGTTGATCTATCGTAAAATTTTCAGAACAACCGGACAACTTTAAATGTCAGATTGAGCAAATTTCGTAGTTATTTTATTTCAATTTTTTTAGATAAAAAGTTCCAAAAAAGTTAAAATGACTTTTAAAGGCGATTTTTAACCTTTTTTTTAATTTTTCAGGGCCTATCCTACAGGGCAACTTGAGGTTTTCTCATCTCTTATCGTACGTCGTTGTTGTCTATAAACTTTTGCTAAAGTCTTGTCCTTTGAAATTATTGTGCAAATTGCAATCAAAACATATCATTCTTATGATATATAGATAGAGAATATTTGAAGAGACACAAATACACTATAATACAAAATAAGGAACACAGCGGAATAATAATTTGATTTTGCGTTTTTGCTTGAAATGTTATTCTAATTTTATTGTATCCGTTTTACGCATAACAAACAGTAGAATCATGATACAGCTTCTGCGGGGCCTCATGTTTTACTTTTCTGGTCTTTATCTTGAAACTTCAATAAACGGATAGAAAGCAATATAACAAATCTAAGTTATTTGTATTGAAAACTATTATGGAAAGATCGATAATTTAAGAGCAAATATTACTAAAAGACTAATTAAGCAACATGGCCGAAACTGTCTTTTGATTCCATATAGGCGTTTTGCCCTTAAACGGGTACTAAGGGAGACAGATTTAAATAACCATTGCGGTTTTGTCCTTATCCCAATTATTGAATTACTTATATATTTCTTATTTATTTTATCTTGTAGTTACATATAGCAAATTCTTTATTAAGATATGTTCACACAACATGACGACTGTTACTCAAAACTCACCATTATAGGGCAATAAGTATAATAAGGGGTCGTCAGACTAATTCAAAACATGTTGACTTATTCGGAAGCTTGTCTTGCTGATATGTTTTGTAATTTAACAAAAACGCAAACAAAATGATTGAAATCGTCATTAAAAGGTTATAACTCTAAAACGGAATCAGCTGACGATTTCAACCAAGTTTATTTTTTTGTATATCTTGTGTCGCTGATATTTTATATTTAATGTTTCTATCTATTATAGTTTTCAAGAGAATAGGCAAACATTACCTGATTACATGTTAAAGCTAAGTTTCAGGAAAATCGGTGACTATGCGTGACAACCCCCCTATATGAAATGGTTGGTAGTTACAGAGAATTGGTCTTAACGTTTCAAAGCCAGTGTTACGTTATTACGCCTAACATTTTAAGTTACATGCTGAAAAAAGACCATTACAGAACAACCAAATCCATTGCAGGTCTATTTTGCCTGAGGAAGTCGGAACCGTTTTTCCTTTTAACCTTCTCAATATAGGCATGATAAAAACGGGAAATTTAAAATAGAGACATTTTATAAATAATGTCAGTACCAAAGCATTGACTACAGATCTGATTATTATCCGGAGAGTTACATTCTACCAGCAGAATTATCTAATCAGTGCTAGTAAAATAAATCGACAGTTTATACATTAAGGATGCATAAATACTGAAATAAGAGCTAATTGATAAACAAAAGAAATCAACAAACAATATCGTTAAATCTATCTTATGTCAAATTTGCCTGCTGAAGTTGACATTTAGTTTCTTTCAAATTTTCTTACATGAGAACGTAATACAGTTTTAAAAATTTTAACATTAACAATAAAATGTCAAAACCTTACTCTCACAATGGCAAAAACCCATTTAAATCTAAAACACAACAACTACTTAGAGAATAATAGGATAAAGGGTTATATTTTGAAAATTTCAAGTGTAATGTATGAACTCATTAAAAATATCAGCACTTACTTTGATTAACCTTCATCGGGAAAGCTTACGGCAAAAGTTTGAAAAACAAGGATGTAAAAGTACATTGGAAAATAGATATCTGACGAAAAGGGCGCTAAAATAACTGCCAAATCAATCTTAGGTAAACTTTGCCTGATGTTGTTTCATTCTAAGATACAAGGTATTCCTTAGGATAAGATGATGAAACATTTGTCTAAGACCTCAAAGTTGGTGAAAATAAAAGATTGTTCTTTGTTTTTAAATGTTATCTTTCATAAGCTAGTGCTGTCGTGGGCTTATCGTCAATTCGTAAAAAAAGAATTATCAAGATTGATGTATGATGACAATGTTTAATAAATATGGTTAACACTTACTTACTTAAGACATTTACTGGTACATTTTTTTTACACATTTCAGTACAGAACATGCTGTAATCACGAATATCTTTCATGGTCACGCACACTTCGTTGATGTAATCCAAAACAGAATACAGAAATAGCAAAAACCGATTTATCAAGTTTTAAATATTTTCTTGCTATTTTTGACAGTTCTAATTTTTTTTCTTGAGTTGTATGCTTCAGTGTCTCTACTATAGCTTTAAGATGATATGTTAAATTTCTATTTTTATTAATTTTCTAGTCCAATATGTAAGCTCACCAAAGATACCAGAATTATAATCACCAGATGATATACGATTTGTTAGACAAAAACAGCGGTGTTGAAAACAAGTGTCTTTTTTCAGTAAAAGAAGTAGGTTTTCAAATTGCGATTTTATAACTATCTGAAGACTGAACATCTATATAATAAAAACTGTCAGGGCGGCTGATCCATTTCCATTTATATCAATTTCCCAAGTCGTAATAGTTTAGGACTGGTTGAAGTAATCCAATCATTAAGGAAATGCGACGTACAGAGTAGAATATTGATTGACGTACTTATATGTCAAAGTCTGTAAAATTGAAATGCGCTATAATTTTTGTATACGAATAACGTTATTCTGGAGGACAGATCAATACCAAATGATGCATGACCAAGTGTCATTGATTACTTTCGGAATGCAAATTTTTTTTTTTTAAAGTACACATTGTAATCGAAGCAGACGATTATCATGCATTAGTCGTGTTAGTATAACATCAGTTTCAAGGACCTTTATTTTTTTTTATAATTGATGAACTGATAAATTGGCAGAATCGGTATTTTAAAAATAAATGCTTAGTAATTCACGTATCCAGTAAAATAAAGAAACACTAAGTGTTTGTATAATATTGCCTATTTAGTCAAGACGATGTTTTTTTGCACTTCAATTGTTTTATTCTTCTTATGAAGATGCAATACAAAAGTCTAAAAGATATAGTATTTTTGTATCAATCTATTCTTTCAAGTTAATATACTTATGAAAATAATAAAGTGCCTCTTTTTATCAAAACATATAATCTGATGCAATAGTGAAAATTGGCAGGTTATGGCTTACATCTGCAAAACATTTTGTTATTCTTTGACCTAATATAGTCATCTCTAACGTTCGTGATAGTTGCATGCTCTGTATCGGATTTTTCCACAAACAAATGCCCTATTTTATAAACATATGTCTGCACTGAACATTTTTTAACCACAATTTAAAAACTCTCCTTTTTCATAATCTATCAAACCACTAGTTTTTGTAAGCAATGTATCACGTGCCTTACGATAAAAGTAGTATAAAAGGACAAACATATCCGAATAGAACTTCACATATTCTACTGATCAAGTAAAACCACGATAATGTTGACTTTACTTTTAGTTTCACTTGTCGGATCCGTTTCGGCGTATGGCAAAGTAGGTCCATTGTTAGGAGGACTTGGTAGTAGTGGAGTTGTCACTGGTGGATCACTCATTGGAGGCGGTGGAGTTATTGGTGGGGCTGGAGGAATTGTCAGTGGTAGTGGACTTCTGTTAAATAATGGTGGATTAGGTGGATTAGCTGGAGTAGGTGGATTAGGTGGATTAGGTGGAGTGATCGGAGGTTTAAATACAGGTAATTTGGAATTGACCATTTATATTATAAATAATTTGCAATTTTTGTATTACTTTGTGTTAAAAAATCGCTGCATCTCTACTGAACATGTGCATTATAGGAAGGTAGATGTCCCGATGAACGCAGCATTACAAAAAAAAAACCGCACTGGTCGCACGTAATTTGCCAAGCACTTATCTAAATTACCAGCAAGGCATACAACCTGATCGATTGTTAAACCCTGTTGGCATCATCAGGTCTTTCCTAAGTTCCCCTTTCTTAAATTAAGGATTTTTTAAAAATCTGAGGTTTATACTCCATCGACCAAAGTTAAAGGAATAAATTTGATAAAAGTCATGTTTGGCCCCATTATTAAGATCAATTATTCAGGAGAAAAAAATGTTTCAAAATGACGAAAAGGCATGAAAGAAAATGTTATTCTACAGCGTTGATTTGTACATCCCAATAAAGGACAACGAATGAAGATATTTGCGCAATTTGACAAAATTGCCTAAATTTTAATCACATTTAGGCATAGGAAACATATCTGGGGCGCAGGCTTTGCCAAACTAACTATTATAGTCAAAGATTTGAAATGTTCTAGGAAACATTACTCGAAAAGATATTTTATGTCGATCAATGTAAATGTTCCTGTGCTTATTTAATTTTCGTTGAAAATTAAATCGAGTGCTATTTTTGACGTCACAATTTTGTTATTGTATTAGCTATATTGGTTGCTAATCTGGTCAGGAAATTATAATTCGAAAGAAGTGCTAAAAAAAAGAGCTAATTTGGGGATTGATCGAACCTACTCTTTTGTCTGTCTGTTTTAATACCTGTTAGTCACATAGAACTCCTAGCATTGTATTGTATATACTCAACTCTAGATTTCAAATGCTTACTAATGAGCGTTTCTTATTTAGATTAATCAAGAAATTCGCGATAGATACGAATTCCAAAAATCGCTTTAAGATGAACACAATTTCATCGATTGTTATTTCATTAACCAAGTATACGATATAATACACATAATATAACATCACACATTTTAATTCAAATATTTGCAAGACTTATCTGTCATATATTCATCTATATGTGTTCTTAAATAATATGTCTCTTTCTTACAACACTGTACCTAATTTATAATGAATATGTGCCTTATACGAAAATAAACGTTCCAGCTGAATATAAATCCACATTACATGCCATAGACTCATGACATTCGTCAAGTGCTGATTTAATTTACCAGTTAGGGTCAGAACATGGAGGACTGTAGGTTACCGATGATATAATCAGCTCAACGTTATATACCTCGTTGATAACATAAAAAATTGTGTAGAATCTACTGTTTAGACTCAATCAATCAAAATTGATCACAGATACATTTGGATATCTGTTAAAGTTCGTTTTCGTCATAGAACTCTAAACATTCCATTGTATTTACACATAGGTAAATTCCGAAAATTGCTTCGGTCAAACACAATATATCAAGTGTACATCCCATCAACCAATTATACTATTTAATATACATGACAACAAATCTTGAAATTGATTTATTTACAGGACTTGTTGGTGGAGGTCGACCATGGTGCACATGTAGTTTGAAATGTGCTCCAGGACAAATAAAACTCAACAAGAACTGTAACTTGGCACCTCTTCTTCCTGGTAGATTGAATACTTGTTGTTCCTTATTGCCATGGTGGGTAACCAACCAAAATTACGGTCTTTCACTTGGTGGAGCTGGTCTTATTAGTGGTGGAGGTATTGTCGGAGGTGTAAGTGGTATTTTAGGAGGTGGTAGTGGACTTCTTGGTTCCATTGGTGGTATCGGAGGTCCAATTGGTGGTGTTGTCAGAGGTTCTGTTGGTGTCATTGGAGGAGGCAGCAATGTTGTCAGTGGACCAATTGGTAAAGGAGGATATTATTAAGTATTTGAAATGTAAGTTTGTATTTCTTGTAGATATATGTTCTATGACATTTATTAATTCCTCTGTGTATTGGCGGTGTACGTACATCGTCAATCATATATACTTTGAGCAAGACATTTTGCTGGGCATGCATACGCTTGAATACTACGACGTTCGAAGAACACAATTATTGTACAAAAACCGTAGTTTTTTTTTTCTTTCTTTGGCAAAAAAAAGTAGTGTATGTGAGCTTTCCACTTCAGGATTTTTTTTTTATGAAACCTCATGTAGAAGTCTACATGGCGTTCCTTGAAACCATGTATTATCGGTAGTACGTGCATAGTCCGCTACACATGCAATTAGAGAAACTCTGAGCAATGTATTTTTCTGTTCATTATGAAGGAGAGAATCAAGTGTTTTCTGTCTTGAATCTATTAGATGATTATTATGTGGGCATTGCGTGATCTATGTGCTGTTTAATTAAATTCGCTGCAGAATTAACACTATATATTATAACGTCTAAATTTTTACATATAGTACACAATCAGATAGATTTGTTGTATCACACACATAAGTGGACCTTCCCTTAAGCATTGATGCATTTTTAATTTAGATTAGTAATATCGATATGCTGGAATGTTTTACTAACATTTTAATTGGTGTATCTTCTTGTTGTAGGTAACACAAACACGAAGAAAAACTTGAAATGAAATGCTTGAAATAAGTAAATTTGTTTTATAAATATAATCACAAACCGATTGTCATGCTTGTTTGTTTTTTTTACAATCACATTTGATTGTTGGTTGTGTAGTTTATATTCTGTTATTTTTACCAGCATTCTACATTAAGTTACCCAAACCTAAATGTTGTGCTGCTAAAACGAAACCGCACCCTGCTCTACTTGAATTTAGTTTCTTGTGTTTAGGTGTGAACACAACATTGTTCAGCTGAGGAAAACATAGATCTTAACAACTTTGTTATAAGCAATGTTAGTGTGCATAGTAAACATGGTACACAATTGATTAAAAAGTTGAACTTAGATGAAAATGTTGTTTTTTTTTGCGTCCTTTTTGGTCATTTTGCTCTTCAACTGATTCAGTTCTTATACAGCCTTGGCTTTAAAATATTCGGCTTTGAGAGTTTCTGGTGAAGGTCCATCAAGAAAATTGGAATTGATAACGTGGTGTTTTCATTTTTTTGTGTGCAAATAACACCTTTTTTTAAAACACAGACACTTTGGTTTATTTCATTTTAACTCTTTTTTTTTCGATTTTACCGTCCGTGCAATGTCTTATATATCTACAAATTACTTCAATTTAGATTACTTTCAGACAATAAAAAAACCGATTTCCATGTTTGTTTTTTGTTTACAATCACATTTTGTTTTTGGTTGTGTAATCATCATTCGGTTAATTTGACCTCTACATGTTGAAGATGTTGTACGTCATGGGTAAACACAAACTGAAAACGACGAAAAGACAAACATCATTTTACATTTAGTTACCAAAGTCTAACAAACACATGGGTTAATTTGTTGTGCTGAAAAAAAGGAAAGCAAATCCTGCTCTGCTCGAATTTAGATTCTTGCGCTTAGGGGTGAATGCAACATAAAACTAGCCAAGGAAAACATAAAACTAAAATACCTGGTTATAAGCCATGTTAATGTCCATAGTAAAACATGATACATTATTAATGAAATATATTTACTAATGATAAAAATTAGAGGGGTAAGTAAGCAATTCATTAACAACAAATATAATATATTTTGTTAAGTAATTATAAGGAAAAAAAAGTTTCAAAGTATCCCATTTTACTTCTAGATAGACACGTACTTAAACAATATTAAGGTTTTTACCAATGTAGAAAACTAATAAATTCCAGTCATAAATTGAACTATCGCAGACAATTATTGTACACACCCATGTATTGTATAAGACCATACGTTCTCCGTCGTGTTTTTTTTATATTTTGGTGGGTATGCTGCAGTATCATTGACATACCAAAAACCCCTTATTTTCAATATTTTAATGTTGCTCATAACAACATTTTTGTTCAATTCCTGTAATCAAATGTTTGATTTTGACACTTTACATAAGAAAGCCAGGGATTCATAAATACGGAAATAAGAGCTAATAGATAGAAAAATTTAAATTACTTAACAATATAGTTTATATGAAAATAAAGGTTTGTGGTATGATTGCTAATGAGACAACTACCCTCCGAAATTCAAATGAAGTGGATGTAGGCAATTATAGGCAACCGTACGGCCTTCAATAATGAAAACCATATTGAAAAGTAGGCCATAAAAGGCCTCAACATGAAAAAAACATGAAATAATTAAGTTTATCTTATGTCAAATTTGCCAACTTATATGAGAACGTAGAAAAGTTGTAAACATTTTTAACATTAACAATACAATTTTAACACCCGACACTTATAATGAGGAAAAACCCTATATGTTAAGGGATTCTGTTTTTTTTACATATCATGTGCAATGTATAAACTCGTCAAAAAAAGACAATATCAATTTAAAAATTGTATGCATTTGAAGCACTTTCCTTGATTGACCTCCAGCAGGAACGCGTAGAGCAAACATTTGAAAAACCCAGAAAAGTACTGAGGAAAATATATGTATGACGAACCGAACCCTTACATAATAGCCAAATCAATGATTGTTTTTCGTTTCCAAATGTTTTCTTTCATAAGTAATGCTGTTGTGGGCTGATCATCAAATCCTTAAAGTTTACTTCGAGATTGATATATGACGACAGTGTTTAATAAATATTGTTAACACATACTAACCTCAGACATTAAATGAGAAATCTGTGTTTACACATTTCAGTTCAGAACATGCCGTTATCACAATATCTGTCATGGTCACTCACACTTTGCTGATGAAATCTAAAACAGAAAACAAAAACAATGAAAAAACCGATGTATCTACTGTTAGATATTTTCTTGTTGTTTTTGACAATTTAATTGTTTTTTTTTAGTTGTTTGCTTCAGCTACTCTACGATAGCTCTAAGATAATAGATTAAAGTGCTCTATTTCTAAATTTCTAGTGCAATGTGTAAACTCATCAAAGATACCAGATTTAGCTTTTAATCACCAGATGATATACGATTTGTGTGACAAAAACTGCGGTCTTAAAAAAATGATTGTCTTTTTTAGTAAAATTAAAAAGCGCTGTAGTTAAAGATTTTGTTTAATAATAGCGTTAGATTTGGAGGTTAGATCTTTATCTAAAAGCAAAATCCAAACAGAAAATCCTTCATAAAATGGAAAAATCAAAAGCTGAAACACATCAAACGAATGGAAAACTACTGTCATATTCCTGACTTGGAACAGGCATTTCCTTATGTAGCAAATTATGGAATAAACCTGGTTTTGTTGCTAACTAAACTTCTCAATTGCTTGACAGTCACATATAAGTCCTTTATATTGACAACAATGTGTGAGGAAAACAAACAGACATAATAGGTAGAAATTTCAAAATTTGGGGTACAGTAGTCAACATTGTGTTATAATCTTGATCATTATACAAACAAAGAAATATATCAACAAATAACAGCGAAATGGGAATAGACACTCTATACACAAAGTACATACGCAAAAATGAATACAAAAATGACCATAGCACAATAATGCAATGGCGGGATGTATAAATAACGAGCCACGCTAAAAGTATATTATCAAAAATGGACTAACCATTAAAGGTTAAAAATATGCAAAGACAAACAAAAATAACATTATAACACTAAAATAAGGCAATAAACAACGTCAGTACCTATAATTTATACTTCAAGACCATCATGTATTGTTTGTTGATTATTTATCAACAAGGTCTTTGTATCTTCTGATGAACTTTAGTAGAAAAAGGACGAGACGTTCTCTGACATAACCTTTGCTCATCAGCTTTCTGCTCAGACACTGGTGACGTTTTATGACGTCTAAGTAGCTGCTTCAAGCTCTTGAATACCGAATGAGTTGGACCATGCAGTTACAATTGGTATATGGCTGCTAAGGTGGGGGAAATTTATAATTTTAAAATTAAAATCGTCTCGTTTGTTACAGATTCTGGTACTAAGATGACCGCTTATCTCAATTTCAAGGTATCAATCTAAAATTGTGGCGGAAGAAAGCCGTGTCTGTTGTTTCTTTAATTGCTAGCTCTGAAGGATATATAAATGGAACTAATCAGAAAAGTTTGGATTGTTAATAGAAAAACATCATCAATATATCTGAATGTAAAATTAAATGATATGGCTTCTTTGATTTTCTTATTTTTGACAAATGTCTGAAGGAACGTCGACTCATATGAAAATGAGAAGAGGTCGACAAGAAGAGTCGCACAGTTCGTTTCCATAGGAATAACGACAATTTACTGACAAAGTCTACCTCCAAATTCAACAAATATTTTGTCAATAAGAAACTTCAGCATACTGATCATTGTGTTTACTATTAACAAAATATACCGTATGACATCCAAAAAATAAATGGATAGTGTATGCTACTATCTGTATATTAAACAGCATTGTGGATTATTTCTTTTAGACGATTGTTCAATTTCAGATGGGGAATAGTGGTATACAAGGTTGAAAAACACTCACAAGTTTTGATAGAAATATTTCAGATCAAGAATTGAATTATCCAGATTTTAGAATCCACAAATTGTTAATACCACTACGCGAGTAGACAGTTTCACCGTATTTCTAAATACCCTATTATGAAATGATGGATGACCAAGTGCTATTCATTACTTTTAAAATGCCGAATTTTTTTTCATAAAATTGAAAAGCACATGCTGTAATTGAGTCAGACGAGTATCATGAATAAGTCGTGTTAGTATAACACCACTTTCAAGGATATTTAACACTTTTAATAATTCAATGAATTAGTAAATTGGGAGACTCTGCATTTTTCTGTTGATTGCTTAG